TTGTCTATATTTAGTCTGTTCCATTGAACAGTTTGTCTATTCATGTATCATGTACTTTATTTGTTGATTTATTTTGAATCAGAATCTCACTGGATATGTTGTCCAGGGTGATCTCAAACTCCTGGGCTCAAGCAATCCTCCTGCCTCAGCCTCCCAAAGTGCTGGGATTATAAGCGTGAGCCATCATGTTTGACCAGCAGCTTTAAAATATATTTTGATTTTGAATCTCTAGCCTCAGAATGGTGAGAGAATAAATTTCTGTTATTTAAGCCACCCGGTTTGTGGCAACTTGTGACAGCAGCCTAGGAAACTGATACAGTGACAGAGCTGAAATTTGAACCTAAGCCTTTGACTCTGACCTGTGCTCTGAAAGGGAGTGCAGGCATATTTATTATCTTTTCCTAAGAGTGTCTGTGAGGGGAAGAATTGGGGAAATTAGTATAATTTCTCTGGATCTCACCAGCCTGTGGGGTGTAAGAGGAAGATATGCTTAATATTCTCTGTGTACCCTTCACTCTTCACCCTGCCCTTCGCTGTGCTCAGGAGGCTAACCTCAAAGAACAGCCTTAACCCCACTGCCTTGCCATTTGATGTCTGGTTGGGTTTGACCAATGCTAGGCATAGCAGGGAATTGGAAGGTGGCTCTCTCCAGGCTGGACCGCAGGTTGTGGGTGGCTGTGATCTCTACTTAGACCCACAGCTTCTGTCTCGTGGCCCGCCTCTCCAGTTCTTGCCCAGTGGTTAGCTGCAGTCACCACTTCTTTCCCTTTCTCTTTCAGACCCACAGGTGGTAACAACTTCCTGCTGATACTAGCCTCAGAATACCAAATCTGTTACTGGTTTTCCTGAACTCTGCCCACATCCTTATAAAAGATCCTTCTGTCATCATTTTTTGAGAGTATCATGTGTTTCCTTCTGAGATCCTGACCAACATAGGGTACCAGCATACTGAGTGACATACAGAGTAGTTCTGGTTTCCTTGACTCTTGCCTACACCTGCTCATTTGGAACTATCTTAAATCCTGACCTCTGGGAAGACACTTCCACTCTGATGGGAGCCCTCCAGGAATAAAAGTTGCTCAGGGACTATGGCAGAGTCAGGGTGAAGCCTGTCTCCTCTCAGGGTTACTCCCACACAAAGGTCCCAAGCAGGGATAAGTGTGGATCTGGGCCAGGTATTTGAGTGACAGAACTGCCTCTCCCTCTGGAGCCTTGGAGGGATAAGGATCTATTACTCTGTCAAGTTCATGGGACAGGCCCCTCCTTTAATCAAGATGAGTTTTCTTCTTGGAGGCTTCTCATTCCTCATGCAAACAGAGTCCTGGCAGGGTGTGCTTCCCCCTTGCCAGACATGCCTAGACATATCTAATTCTACTTACGCTTGAACTGGGATCCTTTTATACAAGGTTGGGAAGGTAGATTTGGGTAAGGTCACAGAAGCCCTCCAATGCAATCAAACAAGTCTTAGCCTAATATGGTAGGTAAAGGAATCACTGAGTGTATTCAAGCTGGGGAGAGATGTGAGTCAAGAATTATTACAGGCTTATGCCTGTAATCCCAGTACTTTGGGAAGCAGAGGTGAGCAGACTGCCTGAGCTTAGGGGTTCGCAACCAGCCTGGGCAACGCAGCAAGACCTCATCTCTACAATCAATCAAAAAACTAGCCAGGCATGGTGACATGAATCTGTGGTTCCAGCTACTTGGAAGGCTGAGGCAGAAGGATCACCTGAGCCCAACAGGTTGAGATTGCGGTGGCTGTATAAGTGTGCCACTGCACTCTAGCCTGGGTGACAGTGAGACTCTGACTCAAAAAAGAAAAAAAAGAATTAAGAACTTATCTTGTTACCACCTCAGTGCCCATGTTTGTGCTCTCTCTCTAGATGAAATATCACCTTGCCAGAGAGGCCCTATCAAGGCACTTTCCAACACCTCACCTTGTCTTATTTCTGGTAGGGTATTTTTCGCTCCCTGAAGTCACAGTCTTTTCTTCTTTTTCTTTCCTTTCCTGTTCCATAAGGGCTGGGAGGTATCCATCTTAGTCAATGCTGTATTCCCAGGGCATGGCTCATAACCGATTTTTAATAAATATGTGGTGAATTTGTTGAATGAGCAAATGAATTTGGTTCAATGAATGAATTCAGATAAAGAAGCCCAAAGAGGTCAAGGGACTTAGAGACCTGCTCAAGAGTTCACAAATCATGATTGGGAAAACAGGGGCTAAAACCAGTCTATCTAATCAAATCCACTGTATCCAGGAGAAGCAGAAGGTGGGGGATGGGTTGGCAGGAGGGGTGAGCAAAAGATCTCTGGAGAGGTTTGGTGATACATTGGCCAAGACTGAGGTGGGGGAGAGGAGGTAGGCGCTGGGGAGAAAGAATTAACACATATTGAGTATCTACTCTGTGCCAGGTGCTTTAATCTGTGGTCTGATTTTCGACTTGTGCTGTAGGTATTCTTATCCTCATTTTTATGAGCTAAGGAATAGTGGAACAAGAGTTTCAAGAAATTGCCTTCTTTTACCCATTTATAAAGAACTTGAGTCCTAAACTTGACCCTTTCCTGCCCTCCACACCACCTCTTGGAACACAGGAATAAACGTAGGAGTTTTCCTTGAAGATGGCCACCATGCTTGGGGTCCACAGCCAGTTGTAAGGGAGCAAGAAGAGTAACTTGTTCATTCAGGGAAGGAATGGGGAGCAGGGGTATGTGGTGCTCACCTTGCTTCAGAAGAGAAACTGAAGCACAGTAAGGCAGTAAGGCAGGAGCTTCTTCTTTTTTTTGAGTCAGAGTCTCACTCTGTCGCCCAGGTTGGAGTGCAGTGGCACACTTATGGTCACTGCAGTCTCGATCTGTTGGGCTCAGGTAATCCTTCTGCCTCAGCCTTCTGAGTAGCTGGAACTACAGGCACACCCCACCACACCCGGCTGTTTTTGATTTATTGTAGAGACAAGGCCTCACCAAGTTGCCTAGGCTGGTCTCGAGCCCCTGAGCTAAGGCAATCCTCTCGCCTTGGCCTCCCAAAGTGCTGGGATTACAGGTTTGAGCCACTGCGCCTGGCCTGGGAAGGGGCCTCTTTTGATAAAGGGAGAGCCACTAGAGATGACAGGAGTGGCCAGAGATGGAGATTCACCCAGAGGGCCTTCTGCTTCAAGGCACAGAAGAGGAACAGGACAGGGAGGTCAGGCAGGATGGAGCAGGAGGCTTTGGAGCCAGAGGAAACAACACAGATCACTTTTTCCTTTCTGGATTCCAATCTGGGGTGAAGAATCAGGGGCAGGGGTGGGGTGAGGTGGGGGTATAGTAGGGTGTGATGGACTGAGTCCAGTCTAAACTAGGGGTAGCATGACCCCCCTGCTTTGGGCTCTTTCCTTGCGGTGGGGTGCTCCTGGCCCCTTGTCTGCACACAAGCATATGATTGCCCAGCAACCCAGATGTTCCAAGACATGCCTAATTTAAAATCTACTGCCAAGTCAGACGCAGTGGCTCAAGGCTGTAATCCCAGCACGTTGGGAGGCAGAGGCAAGAGGATCAAGAACACCTGAGTCCAGGTGTTCGAGACCAACCTGAGCAACATGGTGAGATTGCGTCTCTACAATAAATCAAAAAACTAGCTGGGCATGGTGGCACATGCCTATGGGTCCAGCTACTTGAAAGGCTGAGGTGAAAGGATCGTCTGAGTCCAGCAGGTGGAGGCTGCAGTGACCATGAGAGTGCCACTGCACTCCAGCCTGGGTGACAGAGTGAGATTCCAACTTAAAAAAAAATAGAGAAAAATAAATAAATAGGCCGGGCGTGGTAGCTCAGCCTGTGATCCCAGCATTTTGGGAGGCCAAGGTGAAAGGATTGCCTGAGTCTGAGACAAGCCTGGGAGTTTGAGACAAGCCTGGGCAACTTGGTGAGACCTTGTCCTCACAATAAATCACAAAAACTAGCCAGGCAAGGTGGCGTGCATCTGTAGTTCCAGCTACTTGGAAGGCTGAGGCGGAAGGATTGCCTAAGCCCAGCAGGTGGGAGGCTGTGGTGGCCATGAACTTACCACTGCACTCCAGTCTGGGCGACAAGAGTGAGACTCAGACTCAATCAGTCAGTCAATCAATCAATAAAATCCACTGCCTTTTGTCTTCATATACTTGTGCCTGTCAGACTGTGGCTGTCAGTTGGGGTTTGGAAAATAAGGTCACTGAGACCCAGGACACAGGCCCTGCCCTCCACAGAGCCAGGTTCTGTTGAGACCACAGGGCTGTGTATATAAGGTGTTCTTTGTGCTGGGAGAATGCTTCCAAGTCCTGGGTGTTGAAGGCAGCTCCCCAGCTCAGGGCTAGCCCCAGATCACTGATGCTAGTTGGCTGGCTGTGGGTCAAGGGTTGAGGGAGACCTCAGAGATTATGTTACTGACCAGACCCCTCATTCCCATCCCTCCCTTCACAGCATAATTCGAATTTGCTAAAAGGCCTTTCATAAACAGTTCGAGTCTGAAAACTCTGGCAGCTCTCCCCTACCCCTCCAGCCCTGGGGGGCTTCAGGAGGGTCTGGGCTGCCCGCCAGCCCCAGGCTGTCCCCAGACTTCAGTGGGGGTTGGGGAGTCGGTGCTGTTACCCTTTCCTTCCTGCTTGGTCTCCAGCCCAGAGTTTCCTCAGGCCCCAGCCTCCCGGGCTCCCCACCCCACTCTACCTTAACCCTTTCCTCCCAGGGAAGGAGTGCGTGAGGTCCGTTCTCTAGGGACGCCTGGGAGGCGGTGGGGGGTGGAGAGGAGAGGGGAGAAAGCCCTGTTCCAAATCTCAAAAAAGCATCCCTAAAACCAATCCTCTTTTCCTTCCTTTCCCCCTTCCTTCCACTAGGGAGAGGGGAGCGTGGAAGGAAATTAACTTTGACCCCTGGATTCTGGCTCTGGGCCTAAAACGTGGGTGGAAG